TGCTGCTCCTCCTCCCCACAACCAAGGGGTAATACCCTCCCTCCCCCCCACCTCATCTCTTAGAGTCCAGGCGGCCGCTCGCCCTGATCGTGGGAGAACAGTCCGGCTCCTCCCCCCCACTTTACATATCGATCGGCCTCTCGCCGTATTTGCTTGTCTAATCATTCAGAATAATTTGCGTTGTGGGCTAACCACGCGGCGGCGGATTGGTCGTGTGCTTGCTGAGAGGGGGAGGGGGGGGGGGAGGGGTGTGTGGGGGGGGCGGTAAGGTAGGGGGGTCCTTCTCGGACCTCTCCAACTACGTCCTGTGTTCCGTTTCCTCTTCCTTTCGAATCCCCTCCCCTCTCTGGCACCAATCCCCAATCCCCCCCCCCAACACCCCCACCATGGCACGCTCTCCCCCCCCCCACATTTCTCTATAAACTCTCCTCGTGACTCTATCGATTATCGGAGTGGATTATAATGAGTAATTATCATGTGTCAGAGTAAATCTGGAAAGTTTGAAGAAGGGGGGGGAAATATAATCTTCGCCCCCCCCAGCTCCCCCCTCCTCTCCGTGAGTTGATACATACGTGGAGTATACCTGGAGTATACCTGAAGTATATCTGGAGAGGGTTCTGGGAGTTCTTCTACTCCCCAAGCCCGGCCCGGGGCCAAGCTTAACTCCTGATAACTTAGTCCAATAGAGAATACTGTTGCTTAGAGCAACGGTCGAAGATATTTTGAAATTGTTAATCATAGCCAATAATGTTAAAAATAAAGTTAATAAGTTTTTGCAGAAGGCTTGGCCTAAAAGATGGTATTAAGGATACTTTATTAAAGTCATTACCCGAAACATCGGAAGCTAGAAAGCGGATAATAGCAAATGAAAATAGTAATTTAAAGCAAGAAATAAAGATAAGAACTATAATAAGGCCGTAAAGATAGTTCATAGAGTCTTAAGCAGTCGATCAGCAAGTGGTGCTTCGGCCAGCAGGTGGTGGTGCTTCGATCAGCAGGTGGTGGTGCTTCGATCAGCAGGTGGTGGTGCTTCGACCAGCAGGTGGTGCTGCTTTGGCCAGCAGGTGGTGCTTCGACCAGCAGGTGGTTCTTCGACCAGCAGGTGGTGCTTCGATCAGCAGGTGGTTCTTCGACCAGCAGGTGGTGCTTCGATCAGCAGGTGGTTCTTCGACCAGCAGGTGGTGCTGCTTTGGCCAGCAGGTGGTGCTTCGACCAGCAGGTGGTGCTTCGACCAGCAGGTGGTGCTTCGACCAGCAGGTGGTGCTGCTTCGACCAGCAGGTGGTGCTTCGACCAGCATGTGAAACAGAAGAGATAAAGCGAGAGAGAGAGAGAGAGAGAGAGAGAGAGAGAGAGAGAGAGAGAGAGAGAGAGAGAGAGAGAGAGAGAGAGAGAGAGAGAGAGAGAGAGAGAGAGAGAGAGAGAGAGAGAGAGAGAGAGGAGACGGAAAGTGCTGCACGAAGAGAGAGAATAAAGGAAAGGAATGGTAGCGGAGATAGGAGATGGAGAGGGAGAAGAGGAACCATTCGGCAGAAGGGGAAAGAGGGGAAAAGTAAGGAGAGAGAAGAGGGAAAGGACAAGAAGGGGAAGGGTCAAGGGGAAAGAGAGAGGGTCGGTGGAGGAAGGGAAGTAGAAGATCAATAAACAACCTGTCGTAAACCCACCGTGACGCAACATGACGCAACACGACGCAACACGACGCAACACGACGCTACACGAAGCAACACGACGCAACACGAAGCAACACGAAGCAACACGACGCAACACGACGCAACACGACGCAACACGAAGCAACACGACGCAACACGACGCAACACGACGCAACACGAAGCAACACGACGCAACACGAAGCAACTCGAAGCAACATGACGCAACACGAAGCAACACGACGCAACATGACGCAAAATGACGCAACATGACGCAAACGAGTATTTGCAGGGGAAATTATCTGTAAACAAATCACAATTTACGATCACAGTATCTCGCCTTATAGTGAACCTCGATATCTATATGATATATAAGTGTATACTGTATATGTATACTGGGTCCCGGAGTTCAGTGTTCTATACGTACTCGTCCCTCAATCGACGAACCTTAGGTGGGACAGAAATATGGTTGGGCACGTTTCCTTTCATCTGATGCCTCTGTTCACCAGGGAGTTAGGCAACTGTTGTGGGTTGCATCTTGGGGAAGGTTAGTATATAGAGTCCCACAAGGAGAGACCTTGATCCAAACCTAAAGTATATATATATACATATATATATATATATATATATATATATATATATATATATATATATATATATATATATATACATATATATATATATATATATATATATATATATATATATATATATATATATATATATATATATATATATATATATGAGGAGCTGGAGGAACTCGACAACCTATGACAACCATCTTTGTAACCCATATGTAACTCCTTTTTTGTAACAAAGTTCAAATAAAGTAAATATATATGTGTACATACAAAAGAATGGGGGTGGTAGGAGAAGATAATATTAGTGTTCAGTGAGAAACCACAAGGTCTCCTCTGAATACTTTTTATTTTCTTCTCCGAGGCTATGGGTCCCCACATTGGCACCAGAGGTGGTACCCTCACAAACTTTTATATATATATATATATATATATATATATATATATATATATGTACACAGGCTTCCTGTCCCCGACAACGGGAATTGTAAGACGTGCCAGTCATGTATAACGAGTGACAGGCATGTATAACGAGTGACAGGCATGTATAACGAGTGACAGGCATGTATAACGAGTGACAGTCATGTATAACGAGTGACAGTCATGTATAACGAGTGACAGGCATGTATAACGAGTGACAGGCATGTATAACGAGTGCCAGTCATGTATAACGAGTGACAGGCATGTATAACGAGTGACAGGCATGTATAACGAGTGCCAGTCATGTATAACGAGTGACAGGCATGTATAACGAGTGACAGGCATGTATAACGAGTGACAGGCATGTATAACGAGTGACAGGCATGTATAACGAGTGACAGGCATGTATAACGAGTGACAGGCATGTATAACGAGTGACAGGCATGTATAACGAGTGCCAGTCATGTATAACGAGTGACAGTCATGTATAACGAGTGACAGTCATGTATAACGAGTGACAGTCATGTATAACGAGTGACAGGCATGTATAACGAGTGACAGGCATGTATAACGAGTGCCAGTCATGTATAACGAGTGACAGGCATGTATAACGAGTGACAGGCATGTATAACGAGTGCCAGTCATGTATAACGAGTGACAGGCATGTATAACGAGTGACAGGCATGTATAACGAGTGACAGGCATGTATAACGAGTGACAGGCATGTATAACGAGTGACAGGCATGTATAACGAGTGACAGTCATGTATAACGAGTGACAGGCATGTATAACGAGTGACAGGCATGTATAACGAGTGACAGGCATGTATAACGAGTGACAGGCATGTATAACGAGTGACAGTCATGTATAACGAGTGACAGTCATGTATAAAGACTATTAGTCATACATGGAGACAGTTTATATGCTGTTCAACCCACACTCAGGACAACATTGTACAACATACAATACAGTAAATAAAGTTGCTAATCTATCTTGACCAGAGGCAGGCTTTATCCAGCACTTACGCTACCATTGACGAAACCTGTACATCTTTCCCCAATCACCGAGGCTGTGTTTACATTTAGTAAACAGTTTACGAACTTTAAAGTTTACCCAAGTTTATTATTGTATAAACAACCTCGTATAAGGCTCCGAAGCTCATAAACCGTTTAAGACATGACAACACAGCCGCCATGACTGATGAAGATGTACATGTTTCGTAGATGGTGGATGAATCCTGGCTATAGGCTGATATATCTACCTAAGAGAGTGTGTGTGTGTGTGTGAAGAGCTATTGTTTGCTCCTCCCCCCCCCCCCTCACACTGTGGCGAATTTTGAATGAATTAATAATTTTGCGTTAGCTCACGGTCGTAATTTGATGTGATCCTGTTTAGAATACATATCAGATGGGATTATCAGGTCTCTGGAGAGTTGGCATAATCCCTGTGTGTGTGTGTGTGTGTGTGTGTGTGTGTGTGTGTGTGTGTGTGTGTGTGTGTGTGTGTGTGTGTGTGTGTGTGTGTGTGTGTGTGTGTGTGTGTGTGTGTTTGTGTGTGTGTGTGTGACAGAGGCTTCCCTGAGGGGTAATTACCACCATCGTCAGGGTCTGTGGATTGGGCAATGTAGCATTTCCCCATCAGCATCAGTGAGGGGATGATGGGATTCAGGACGTCCCTCAGGGAATAGTACCGGGCAAACACGTTCCCACGCTCTGTGTAGAGGGGCTCGGGCTAGGGGGGCCCCATCCAACACGTGCTCCCACTAAATAGAAAACATTCGTCCAAAAACGTGAATCGTGGTGAGTAAGATGGGTGAGTGCAGGGTGATTTTCCGTGGGTGAATGCAGGGTATTGACGCCGGGTATGCGTCTCCAGTGTAAATAAAGAACAAATTAATAATGCTTTAGTCTCCCCCTCCACCTTCATTAAGGTCTGGCGGCGGACCTCGGTCGCCAGGAGACCTTTGGTCACATGGCGCTCATAAAGGCTCTTTTACTCGTAGGAAATTCTAATTTACTCGCCTTGAAAGGGTTATTCTCTGCAAAATTTCTTAAAGTAAATAGTATTTCTAGCTGGCTAGCCCCCCCCCCCCCCCCCCTTTGTTCGCCCTCCAAATTAGGCTGAAACTTCAGTGAAAGAAAACGGGAGTGAATGGTCAGTGAAATTAGTTATTTATATCTAAATACACTTCACCCTTGCCACAGCATCAGGTATGGACACACACGAAGACGGAAAACAAACTTACACGTTCCAGAACAAGAGAAGTAATATCAATAGAGTTTTGTGAAGCAATGCCCGACAGGCCACTGGGTGCTCTTGTAACCTGAATAAACTTCCCATCAAATATATAACCTTCAGTCAAAACAGTTCACAGTTCAGTCAAACAGTTCCTTCAGTCAAAACAGTTCACAGTTCAGTCAAACAGTTCCTTCAGTCAAAACAGTTCACAGTTCAGTCAAACAGTTCCTTCAGTCAAAACAGTTCACAGTTCAGTCAAACAGTTCCTTCAGTCAAAACAGTTCACAGTTCAGTCAAACAGTTCCTTCAGTCAAACAGTTCACAGTTCAGTCAAACAGTTCCTTCAGTCAAAACAGTTCACAGTTCAGTCAAACAGTTCCTTCAGTCAAAACAGTTCACAGTTCAGTCAAACAGTTCCTTCAGTCAAAACAGTTCACAGTTCAGTCAAACAGTTCCTTCAGTCAAACAGTTCACAGTTCAGTCAAACAGTTCCTTCAGTCAAAACAGTTCACAGTTCAGTCAAACAGTTCCTTCAGTCAAAACAAGTCCCACATGACTTAG